GGGAGGACGCTGCCTAAATAGGGAAGAAAACAGGTGCACATAACAACGAAGCAGGTGAAACTAATGTGAGTGATGAACGTAAAGAAAAGACCAGAACTAAGGTGAAAAACAGGAAATGGTGTCAAAATAAAAGCCAGACAGGAAGCAGTGGAACCGAACCATGACAGAGGATGTACTTCCTGCACCAGCTCAGGAAGTTCAACCTGCCCCAGGAGCTGCTGATACAGTTCTACAGAGAAATCATTGAGTCTGTTCTCTGTACCTCCATCACTATCTTGTTTGGCTCAGCAACCTAAAAGGACAAGTACAGACTTCAGCAGACTGCAGTAAGGTCCTACAATTTCCTGGGCTCCACCATCTCCCAGGACCTGAAGTGGATGTCCAACATCAAGACCATCATCAAAAAGGCACAGCAGAGGATGTACTTCCTGCGCCAGCTCAGGAAGTTCGACCTGCCCCAGGAGCTGCTGATACAGTTCTACAGAGAAATCATTGAGTCTGTTCTCTGTACCTCCATCACTATCTTGTTTGGCTCAGCAACCTAAAAGGACAAGTACAGACTTCAGCAGACATTCAGGACTGCAGAAAAGGTCATTGGTGTGAGCCTGCCCTCCGTGGAGGACCTGTACACCTCACGGGTCAAAAGGAGGGCAGAGAGGATCACTGCAGACCCCTCACACCCTGGGCACACTCTGTTCGAACTCCTCCCCTCTGGACGGCGTTACAGGTCAGTGTACGCCAAGGCAACCAGGCACAGGGACAGTTTCTTCCCCCAGGCTGTCACTCTGATGAACACTTGACCCACAACAGTATGACAGTATGACTGGGCAATAACCCTTAGTGCAACACCTCTCCTCAGTGCAGTACTTGTATATATACATTGAACAGATTATACAGATCCATACAGGTCTCTATTTTTAAGTACTCTATTTTTATTCCTATTTATCTCATTTCACAATGTCTGCATTGTTTACTGCCTGTTTATACTGCTTATTTTGCATTGTTTGCGCTGTTTGTTGCTGTTAATACTGCTTATTATGTTATACTACACAGCCTTATGTTGGTTTACTGTTTACTTGCCCCTTGCATGGAGATATGTACATGCACATTGAGAGCCGATGTACCACAGTCAAATTCCTCATGTGTCCAACACACCTGGGCAGTAAAGCAGATTCTGATTCAACTATTGCCCTCTAGCTGGAACCAATAAGAAATGTGTCTTAGATATGTGGCTTTCATTGGTATCTCCTAGATAGGCAGCTGGGCAGACAGTTGGGCTCTGTGGAAACCAGGCTATGTGCGTCAATAGAGACTGGGTCTGTGTGTGTATGAAGTGTGTGTGTGTGAAGGGGTGTGTGTGTGTGTAGAGACTAAATCTGTGTGGAGTGTGAGAGGGAGAACTGTCCAGAGGAAAAGGAAACAAGGTTAGACAGTACAAATACATAGATAAGAACACTGAGCATACTGAGCAGATAGCATGTGAGTGAATTAAAATTTTTCCACTACAGCTGCTAGTTCGTTCATGTCAGCTTGTCGTGTCTCTGCCTTTAGCTACATGAGCAAATTTTTAAACTTACAAAATAGGCTACATTCTGTTATTTGTATTGTTACCATTTACAAGAATTACTCCACAATAGAGTTATAGCCGACATCATGTATTCTTTGTGGAGGCTAGCCGTATTGATGGCTGTAAATGCCATCCTCAGTTGCTGATGCTGCCAAACACTGATTGTTGATTGACAGGTCATTCCTGATGTCAGCTTACATTTCATTTTGATTTCAAATGACCTTGATGTTATTTTTCAGCACATTTAACTCACCTTTATTTTTACATTCAGATATGTCATCTTTTTACATTCATTTGGCTTAGGCACAGCGGAGTGCCTAAGCATGCAGCGTATGGTCTGAGCACTAACAGGCTGACACCCCACCCCTTCAACTTCTGCAGCAAAGCTGGCAGCACTCATATGTCTATTTCCCAAAGCCAACCTCTGGATATGATGCTAAGCATGGGTACTCAACTTCTTTGGTTGACCATGGCGAGGCCTGTTCTGAGTGGAACCTGTCCTGTTAAACCGCTGTATGGTCTTGGCCACCATGCTGCAGCTCAGTTTCACGGTCTTCGCAGTCTTCTTATAGCCTAGACCATCTTTATGTAGAGCAATAATTTGTTTTTCAGATCCTGAGAGTTCATTGCCATGAGGTGCCATGTTGAACTTCCACTGACCAGTATGAGAGAGTGAGAGCGATAACACCAAATTTAACACACCTGCTCCCCCTTCACACCTGAGACCTTGTACCACTAACGAGTCACATGACACCAGGGAGGGAAAACGGCTACTTGGGCCCCATTTAGCCATTATCACTTAGGGGTGTACTCACGTTTTTTTGTCAGCAGTTTAGACATTAATGGCTGTGCGTTGCGTTATTTTGAGGGGACAATGCACATTTATACAAGCTGTATACTACTTTACATTGTAGCCAAATCTCATTTCTTCAGTGTTGTCACATGAAAAGATGTACTTAAATATTTACAAAATGTGAGGGGTGTACTCACTTCTGTGATATATTGTATATATGATATATTTTATAGCTGATATCAGTCTTTCAGTATGTTAACCTTATTTCTAAGATAGTTCATCAGTGGGAAATCATAATGTTGGCTGTACAGTAGGATCAAATGTTTTAACTGTCTCTTGTGAGTCCTCCAACTTTATTGAAGTGCAGTACTAAATTTCAGACTAATTCTAAATTGTGTGTATATGCTACTGTCAGCAAATCATCAGGATTCTATACAGTTTGTCCAGGATAAATCTTAGTATTATCTTTTATAGTTTGAAAAACATCTGACCGGACATTGCAGATTGATCTGTACTCTGTTTTCTCCTCAGGTGGTGCAGATGAGCCACAAGGTAAATTGTTCTCTAATCTTATTCTGTTCCCTTTTGAATGCACTTCTTCTTCTGCTCTATAATTGTCTCCCCTACAGAATTGATTGGTTCTTGAGCTTTTGTTGGGAATTTCCTGTTTTATGTTTTAGACAACGCTGCTTTAAAGGAAGCTTTGATTTCAGTGCTGATTCAGCAGTTGTTGTGTTGGTGTTGGTTTATTACACATGCCATCGTCCCATATTATATGTTGTTATGCTTGTGGTTTTGACAGCACTGACTTTGGATTTTTCAGTTTGAAATATTTGATCAATTGCATGCAGTTACCTTTCACCAGAAAAGAAAAGCTGGTGTCTTTGAGGATTAATTGAGAGTTGGCTTAAGTTTTATACTGGTATATTTTTAAATTGGTACCCCTGGTCTGGTTTCTCTGGCTGAAACCCTATGATTGTGTGTCGTTGCAGATCCAGGCATGCCATGGGGCCAAATCCTGGAGATGCTAAATGCTAACATACCAGAAGAATTCTATATGTGGATATCCAACTTTAAGCAAATCTTAATACCCCTGTTAGAGAGGGTCATGGATCTGTTGCAAGCTGTGCCATAATGCGTAATTTTCTGTTCTTATTAGCTCTCAGGTCTGAGGTTGCACTTGTCTAGTGGTTTGCAACTGTTTGGTTCAATATAGATTTTTCTTGGTCTTGAAAAATATAGTAGAGTGTTTAAAAAGTCTGAAATCTGAGAGGAATCTCATTTTCCTTGATGAAGCCAAGATTGTGCTCAATGGGATTTTTTTTTTTCCTTGCAGTTTTTTTTACGTTATTTTCATTGGTTTGGTTGTAATGTAACAATAAACTCTACCTAACATTTTGGATTCAGTGCACTCTGGCGTGCTTCCCTGGGTGCTTGTGCTTAACATATTTTAGCACAAGCTTTGGCTCTCATCCACAATGACAGGGAGTGGACAAAATAACAGAAACATAAAACATTCAGTAATCAACTTGACTAAATGTTAATTTATCAGGATACAATTAAATGTGCCAAAGAATGGGAGAGCATTCATATAGATGATGTTTACCTATTATTTGACCCCAAAGAGAGGGGTGTCAGGCCATGCCGTCATAAATTGTCAGAGCCCCACAGTAGGCAACGCCATTTTCCAGAATCTGCTTTATTGGCCAGGTGTGTCGGACACACGAGGAATTTGACTCTGGTACATTGCTCTCAATGTGTATGCACATATCCCCGTGCAAGGGGCAAGTAAACAGTAAACCAACATAAGGCTGTGTAATATAACATGATAAGCAGTATTAACAAGCAACAAACAGTGCAAACAATGCAAAATAAACAGTATAAACAGACAGTAAACAATGCAGACAGACAAGGAATGCTCATTGTAAAATGAGATAAGTAGGAATAAAAATGTACTTAAAACCAGAGACCTGTATGAATCTGTATAATCTGTACGAGGTATATTTACAGGTGTTGCACTGTTATTGTCCAGTCATACTGTTGTTGGTTAAGTGTTCATCAGAGTGACAGCCTGGGGGAAGAGACTGCCCCTGTGCCTGGTTGCCTTGGTGCACAGTGACCTGTAACACCGTCCAGAGGGGAGGAGTTCGAACAGATTGTGTCCAGGGTGTGAGGGGTCTGCAGTGATCCTCTCCACCCTCCTTTTGACCCGTAAGGTGTACAGGTCCTCCATGGAGGGCAGGCTTGCACCAATGACCTTTTCTGCAGTCCTGATTGTCCTTTTTGGTTACTGAGCCAACCCAGACATTAATGGAGGTGCAGAGAACAGACTCGATGATTCCTCTGTAGAACTGTATCAGCAGTTCCTGAGGCAGGTTGAACTTCCTGAGCTGACACAGGAAGTACATCCTCTGCTGTGCCTTCTTGATGATGGTTCTGATGTTGGACGTCCAATTCAGATCCTGGGAGATGGTGGAGCCATCTGTAGGCTGAGTCGTTGCCGCCTTGGATGAGACCAATGATCGTTGTATCATCTGGAAACTTTAGGAGCTTGATACAGGGGTCCTTCAAGACACAGTCATTAGTGTAGATTGAAAGCAGCAGAGGGGAGAGCACATATCCCTGGGGGGCGCCTGTGCTTACTGTCTGAGTGCTGGATGTGGTTTTCCCCAGCCTCATCTGCTGCTTCCTGTCTGTCAGAAAGCTAGTAATCCACTGACAGGTGGGGGGAGGCACAGTGAGCTGGGTCGGTTTGGAGTGGAGGATGTCCAGGAAGATGGTGTCAGGTCCACTCAGCGCGACCTTCCTCTCTTCTGCCTTTCTCTCTCCTGCTCGCTCTTCTTGCAGGATCAGCGCCTCAGCTGTGTTGCATTTTGTACTTAGTGACTTGTGGGTTATCACGCACAGCTGGGGCACATTACTGTAATCACCCTCCTACCTTATTTATACCTCTGGCAGACGCTCCGCCGTCGCCGGAGCATTAATGTGCATACCCCGTAACGGCCCTATAGTTGTGGTATGTATTTGTACGTCATTTTGTTTTCCACTCTGACAGTTCCTGTGCTGTGGATTGCATTTTGTACGTTGGTTATATGTTTTGTGTTATACGGTCCACGCTGACAGTTCCTATGCTGTGGACCTCTTTGTTTGTTTTTTTCCATGTGGTTAGCTTGACGTTCTTTTTGTTATTCCATGCTGACAGTTCCTGTGCTGTGGCTTTCCGTTTTCGTTCGCCTACCCACCTGTCTAGCTTGCTTCTTCACCTGTCCGTCCTGTTCCTCCGACTCCTGTTTTTTTTTTGCTGTTAGCCTGTCTTTTCCCCTGGTCATCCCGGTCTCCTCCACCACCTTTGCCCTACGTTGCTTTTATATGTACATTGCCCTTGTTATGTAGTTACTTTGTGTTTTTGTCCCATTAAACCCCTTTTTTTTAACTAGCACCTGGGTCAGCATTCTTGAGTCCTATCTCAGTTCTCCCTCCCCCTCCTGGTGCGGGGGACTAAACCATAACAGATGGTGTTGAATGCTGAATTGAAGTCCACAAAGAGGACCGTGCATAGGTCCTTGGGGAGTCGAAGTGTTGTAGGATGTAATGCAGTGCCGTGCTCACTGCATTGTTCGCTGACCTGTTTGCCCAGTAGGCGAACTGCAGGGGGTCTACGGTGTCCTTCAGGTGGGCCAACACCAGTTTTTCAAAGGACTTCATAACTACAGATATCAGGGCAACAGGTCTGTAGTCGTTCAGCCCACTGATGGGGGTTTTCTTGGGGACTGGAATGATGGTGGAGCATTTGAAGCAGGAGGAGATTTCACACAGCTCCAGTGACCTGTTGAAGATGAGTGTGAAGATGGGGGCCAGCTGATCAGCGTGCACTTTCAGGCAGGAGGGGGCCAAACCATCTGGGCCTGGTGCCTTTCTGATCCTTTGTTTTTTAAAGAGGCCACGCACATCCTTTTCACAGATCGTTAGAGGTGGGGGGCAGGAGGGAAGGATGGTGATTGTCGGGGAGCAGCTG